GAGAGAGAGAGAGACGTAATCTGAAAAATCTTTTCAAAGACGTTAGACACACTTTTTCGCGTGACACGTCCATGTAAATTATTAAAAACCGTATTTTTCTTCCCGTCTTTCGTAATCGTAAATGGATCGTTGGACCGTTTATGAGCCGAAAACACGCTTTCCTTAAAATGCCATTTTAAAAATAACGTCACGGTTTAAAGAATCTTGTCGAGCGGTCTGTAAAAAAGGAAAAAAAGAAGAGGAAAAACTCGAACGTGCATAAAGCTCCAACCGGTAATCTCGAGTTTCTTTTACGACACGCGCAGTGATATGCAAATGATGTGCAAATTTTCTCCTTCTAAAACATGTTAAAAAGTCCCATCGCCTCGCGGACCAATTTGCCCGCGTCCCTCTCTCTTTCTTTCCTCTCCACAGATTTTTAACTTGAATAATAATAATACTCCCCTCCTCTAAAATTCGTTGGGACAATTTTTAAAATGGAATCTTGAACGGTTCGGCCAAGAGAGAATTCAATTAATTAACATTCGTCTTTTGTCTTGCTCTCACCCCCTCGAGAGGAGGGGAGGGAGAGACGTGGGGAAAAAAGTTTGGAGCGGAAGAAGTCGCGTTAAGGAAGCTAGGACACGAGGAGGCTAAGCAAAAGGCTAAGCTTCTCTCTCTCTCTCTCGCTCGCAATTTACTAAATTGGAACATTCCACTTCCGTTCCTTTCCACCGTGTATCCGAGCGGAAAGTTTCGTCGTGGTATCGTGGTCGCCTCCCTATTTAAAGCGTCTTTAAACCCGAATCACCTTCCGCGAATCTCGAATGGAATTAACTCGATCCGCATATAACGATATAACGATTCCTCCGATTTACGTGATGCAATAATGCGCGTTGAGATTCGCCGAGACAAAAGGAATGGGAATAGCAATTTCTCGTGTTATGTGTTTATGCAACGTTCAATAAGTCTAATGCAGTTATAAATTATTGATCGCGATAATGTCGTGTTTTAAACCTTTTTATGTGTGTGTGTGTGTGTGTGCTTTTGAAGAAGAGTGAACGATGAGAAGAGACGTCTTGGATGAAATGTTTTGGAGATATCGTTTATTTCCTCGAATTATATCTCGAACAACGGTATCGATTATTATTATTTATGATGCGTAATAAATGCATTTCAATCGATGTTATTTATTCGTTTAATTTAAGAAGCGGAACGAATATTATTTTGGAAAAATAATGAATTGGAGAATTTTTTGGCTATTATTCGATGTAACGTTTGTTTTTTTTTTTTAATCGAGTATTCGTTATATATAATATAACATTCAAAACTATAGTGTATATCGAACAATAAATGTAGTAATAACGGTAGTAAGCGTGTAATATTAAAAAAAAAAAAAATCATTTTATCTTCGTCGAAATCAAATAACGATAAAAAATAACAAACGATTTATTTCGTGAAATGACAAATAAATCGTTCGATTTCGCGTGAAAATAATTTTTTCACAAAAAATGGATTATTCTTTCTGAAATAAAAGTAATATTAAACTTTGCTAAGACTATCTTTCTCTCTCTCTCTCTCTCTTTCGCTCTTCGTTTCTTTCGTCCGGAAACCATTAGTTGGCTCGATAAAAGATTGCGAAACTGTCATCAATGAACCGCCAATTTAGGTTAACTTTATGGAGATAATTGACATTTAAGGTCCGGAAAATTAAGACGTATCGAGTATATAAGAGAGGGGCCTCCTTTATGAGTTGTTGCTTTTCAAACTTTTCTGTTCTTCATTTTTCTTCTTTCTTTTTTTTTTTTTTTTAACTAAGATTCACGTTGGCAGCATCGATTATATAGCGGCACGATTTCACAATCTTCACAATATTCGATTGTTCCCAGTCTCGCTTGCTTCTTGTGTCTTCTTTTCGATGTAATTGTTCTTCTAATAGTACATCGAAAATATTTCATCATCTTCTCTCTTTCCTTTTTTTTTTTTTTTTTTCTTTTCGATAACATTAAATCGATTGAGTAATAATTAAGTGATACGGTTGATTGCAGGAAGTCGAAGGTTTCACAACGGAAAACTTGCGCGCTATATAAAAGCGTTGTGACAGAATTTTAAGACCTCTGATAACAGATTGGAGCCTTTTCTAGAATCAACTAAAGTTTGATCTACGCTTTTGTATATACGATAGATTTTGGCACGATCTGATCTGATCGTGGTTCTAGGTTGCCATGTAAACGACGACAAGCGTTGCTCCATTTGTTTTCCACTGGATTAAAATAATCCCGAATGGGAGGGCCAGCCAAAAGGTGTCTGACCATTGAACGCCCAATTCTACTTTATTGACCGCTGCAACGTAGAAATTGGCGCAATTTTGAACGAATAAAAGAGAGGAGATATATTATAATAGCTTCTTGAAATTGCAATGATAATTCAAGCAATTTTAAACGGTTGTAAAATTAATGTACAATGTGAAGAATTTCATGTATTATTATTTTACGTGTTATTTCGTTTCTTATTTTATTTCACACGTCATTGTATTATCTCTCACTTTATTATTATTATTTTTTTTTTGTAATAATCTAATTGTAGAATTATCGGGTGAATTATGCAAGTTTTGAACGAGATAAGATATTGGTTGATTCGTTCTTATAATCAGAATAGTTCAAAACTACAAAATTAAGTGATGCGCGACTCTTGATAACGCATTTACGACTCTCTCAAGGATTTCCAACCAAGTTGAAAATTAAACGCGTATCTCTTAGGATAAACACTGCAATTATCGAGCGATCGATTAATTTTTTTAAAAATTATCAAGAGATAATTCGATTATTGTTATTTTTATCTTTACGATGAAACTTTATTCACGTGTTTATTATTCATTACGTCGATAATTCATGTGGAAAAAAGTAGAGAAGGTAGAAAAATAGTTGACCATCATTCTTAATACAAGAAAATTTAAGAAATACCTTCGAATTATTTTAAAAGTGTATTTAATACGTATCTTCTTTTAAAACTCGGTCTCTTCTTTTTTTTTTTCCTACTTCGATACAACCTACGCAAAATTTTCAAGAAGTTATTCACGTACGCAATTCCAAGCACTTGATCTTCCCACACACCACTCGCAACTCAATTTCACACTAATCAAACAATTTTCCAATCGAAGCGTTACTCCCTCCAAGTTTTTACCGATTTTATTATTTTCAATTATTTTTTTTTATTTTCGCTCATATCGAAAATAAATAATACAAAAACAGATAAAGAGGGAAAGAAAAAAAAAAAATATCCATCGACCACGCAATTGCTAAAAGGTCTACCTCGTTCACGAATGGGTAGTTTTTACGTAACATAAACTCGCAGGATGCATCGAATTATGAATTTAGCGTGGCTGTTAATAACTCTTCTTGCCGCCTTTAAAACCGATATTCGATAGACCGATCCGATTAAACGTTTATCGTTTCTCCATTTCCATAATAATTATATAGCGTTTGTAACCCAACGTATCCTCCCCCTTTTTTTTAACTTTTCCTTTTCTCCCCGCTGGAAACCAGCTGGAAAAGTAAGGCGCGTTGCTCTCGAATCTCGTTACGTCGTTCACTCGAACAATAGCAGATCCATCCATTCCTCACAATATTTTCTCTATCTGTGTAATGGAATTTTTTTTATATTTCTTCTTGTTCATTCTTCTGGCTTTTGTTTTCGTTTCTTCGACAATAACGCTTCGTCGTCTTCTTTATCATCGATCGAGGATAAGGGTTTGATTAAGGAAATCTTTTTTTTTTTTTAGCGAGAAAACGCTTCGATATTCGTCATCAAAAAAATTTCTCACCGCGTGATTCATCTCGATTTTTGAAAGAAAAGGTAAAATTTTATTTATTTGAGCTTTTATTCGAATCGATTATTCTTTTTCGTTAATTTTTAAATAACATATTGTTTCGTATATCGTTCTTCTGAAAGGTGAATAAATATATTCTGAGTTTTTCTGAGCTCGGGTCAAGAATTTCGTCAACACATATCGATCGTTGAGGATTCATATTCGAGATAGGTAGCAATTTACAGCGGTACGGATACGAGGCGATCGATTCTTTGGGTAAAGTTCACTGCTACGTGTATCATTAAGGTTGATCAGAAGTTGAGTCAAGTCGATTGTGCTTTGTCGTATTAAAAGTGTATCGATTTCGACAGAGGGCTTGACCAAAATTGGGCCAAATAAGATAAATTTGTGAAGTAGATTGTAGTCATTCTTAAAAAGAACCCTTGCGTTTATTATCAATAATTTTTAAATCTGTCGCTTCTGTTTTACGTATATTATATTTTTCAATATAATTTTCATAACAATTTTCCTTAGATTCAATTAGAAACATTGTAAATAAACGTAAGATTCTTTAAGAGTACACGTTATGCATCATTCGATTGGTCAAATGAAAAATAAAAGATGGTACATTTTCTTTGTATAGTTCTCGACGTTGCTTTAAATTTCATCTAATCTGCTAATATATTAATAGCCACCGAAAAAGAGGCTAAAAACTAGGCTAAAACGGAGTCCGATGCAGAAAAGTCGTGGCGATGAAAGTTCTTCATTTCGAAACTTAATGCCTCTTGACCAGTTTTCACGGTCATTATTATCGATGATTCGTTTCTTTCTCAGGAAGGGAGCACGTATCCCGAATTGATTTTACTTTTTGGCGACGAAGATTTATTATTGGAATCTGTTCTTTATCTTCGTGCTAGGAAATTCGCTTTTCATATCCAGATGAAAGATATCGATGCATTTTTGTCGCGAAGACTTAGACTTCTTCAATATTTTATACTTATCAAAGTGCACAGTTGTTTCGATGCTAGGAAATATCTCTTCTTCGAAATTATTCGTCGTACGATAAACGGTTTATAAATATATAGGATTCAAAAACTTTTCTCTCGAAATCCGTCGAGCAAAGAAAGAGGGTGATAGAAGAAGAATATGCATCGATCGATTCCTCTAACAGACACTTCTACACCGTTTTATTTCAACATCGTTTTATTCGAATCAAAGGTGGATCAATTGGTCGGATTTCTTCAGACACTTTTTTCTTCAAACGTAGGGAGTCACGTGCGCGGAATAGCGGGTAAAGTTTTCGTGCGGAGAGTGCGAGTTTCGGTTGGTTTAGCAGTCAACTTGCCCTCCCCCCTTGTGTGGCGGAATGGCCGAAGTTGCTTCGATTAATTCTCGTTTCTCTCCGAGGCAGGAAGTTGATGGAGCGCCCACGGCGTCAGTGTCTGCGTATTAAATGCTCATAAATCCGAAGCACCTGCTAGCTAAATATCCAGTTGTTGAATTTCCTAGTTTCGTTCCCGCGTTAAGCCTGCCGCATTGTCCTCCCCCGTTTTCCGCCACATTCCGTGTAATTAGAACTCGACATCCCTGATAATGAGTTTCTGCCGAATATTTTGCTCGCTTAACTATCTTTTTCCTTTACACGTACACGAATGATGAAATTTAATTCAACAAACATATAACTTTCTGATCTATTTTTTAGAAACCAAGAAGATATTTGATATACGGTCTCGTTAATAGAGAAACAATTTTTCACAAACAAATTTTTTTCCACGAAAATCCATCGAAGTTCAAAAATCTCTTTTCCTTTCTCGATCAATCCCACTGTAAAAATGAAAGTATCCTCCCCCCAAACTGCATTCCTTCCTCTCTCTTCGAAAACAATTAACGATATCTTGGCACAAGGTGTAGAACGAAAGTATCCCATCATCCCACGACATAAATAAGTATCGTTCGCGGTGAACGAATCTCCACCTCTTGATTAAGAATAATCTCTCCGCGAATATTTCTTTATTGACACTGTATCTTGTCTTTCAGGTAGCGAAACTGTTCTCATCTGACCGATCTCGAGAAGAAGAAGAAGAAGAAGAAGAAGAAGAAGAACGTCGAAGCGGAAAAAGAGGGCGGCTGCTTGTTTTCGGGGAACGGAAGAAGACTCGAAAGTAACGAAAAGTATCGAAGACCGAAGTTTCGTGGTCTGGAAACGAGAAAGAAGAGAGAGAGAGGGAGAGAGAATGACTCGTATGCTTCTGCAAGAGCCGGGATGGAAGATGGAGCGCAAGGGATCGGCGTTGCTGTTGAGGAGGGACAGCTCGCATCTGAAGAGCGGCCGCGTCTGTTTCCGGTGCGACGTCGAGGTCCGTGAATTCGAGCGTGACGAGGATTACACGATCGAGGCGGAACCGGAGGCAGCTGCCAGCCCCTTGGCAATGTGCGCCAGTTGTTTGGCGGCGCTCTGCGTGACCGTGATTCTGCCGTGGCTGTTGATCGGCGGTTAAACGCGCCTCGCTCCAACTCACCATCTTTGGGGAGGGGTTGGCGGGTGGTGGTCTCTGGGAAAACGGAAGTCATCCGAGGGAGAAGAGAAGGGAGAGGTTTTTCCACGCTGGTGGAAAATTCGAAGGAAGTCGAGATGATGGGAGAGGAATCGATCGAATTTCGAATTCCTCCCGATTCGAGATTTTATCGTCACCCGAGGGAGGAGGATTCAGGGAAGTGGATACGGTAGAGTTTCGTTCCATTCGAAAATTACAAAAATCGAATCCCTGTGAACGTTATTCCAGGAAATTTGAAGTTTTCTTTTTTTTTCTCTCTCTTTTTCTCTTTTTCTTTTCCTTTTTTCGAGGACAAATCGAAATATGTATACTTTCTTCGAGTTTTGTTCGTGCACGGCGTGTGTAGGTTAGTTCGCTCTCTGCACTCTCGGATCGAAAGCACGGGGGATGAAAGTCGACGTTTTTTCGTTTTCGTTTGAAAAAAAATGTAAATTCGAATCTTTCTCTAACTCAGAGAGACATTACGCGTCTTCTCGTTATATCGATTGTATACGATCCTCGACGAAGAAAGAAAAATTCCTACGTGTTTTCGAAAGGAGAAACATTATTTTTCAAACGATGAACCGATTACGATTTCGTTCCAAAAGACAAGCTTTATTGCTTTATATTTATTCGTTGATCCGCGTCGTTTGCTTCAAATGCGTAGCAAAATGCACATCTCGAGGGAGAGGCACGATGGACTCGTGTGTGTGGATCGAGTAGATCCGCGAAAGTCGAAGGGAAAATCGGTCTTACTGCATGGACTTTCTGCATAGATATGTGAAATTGGGAAAACATCAAAGGAAGAGACGATCCTTACTGCGTTTCACGATATCAAATCTTTCTTTGGAACGAAGGAGGCGATCCTGTGCCAAACGAGAGTAGCACGTTCGAGAATATTCGTGGAAATTCGAAAAAAAACGCTCCCGTGACTCTTTTGCAAATGTTGCAACAATAGATGGTCGGCTCGTTGGGTAAAAACGTTTTGTGAATTCACAGAAAACTTTCTTTTCTATCGATAGATAATGGAATCATTGCATTCGTATTCGTAATATATATATATATATATATAATATAATTGATTCTAAATTTTCTAAATTTTATAAACAGAGATAATATTTCTTTCCGTGAAATGTAATTTTTATTGAGAAGAAATATGGACGAAATAGGGAGAAAGGCAAATTTAAAAACATATCTTTATTAAAACTAAAATCTTTCTCATATTAAATCTGAAAGATTGAAGTTAAATTTTTATCTCTATTAAAAAAGGAAATAATCAACATTATTCCACTCCATCGACGATACTAATTTCGATCCCCTTCGAAACTCCATTTCCATTTATAGTTTTACATTTGACCGGTTGACCAATTCCGGTTCAATTCTCTTGACCAGTTACATATTTTTTTTCACGGCACGTGAAGCCGTCGTTGGAAAGTTTTCTTGGATAATGGAAATGGAAAAGTTTGATTCGCGAATCGGTGGCGAATTTGAGAAATCGAGCGAACTTTGGAGGGATGTTACACTCGATTGGGGGACGATCTTGGAGAAAATGCGGAGGAGATAACGTCGAATAAATGTTCGACTTCTTATTTATTCACTGCTCGTGAATCTTTACAAAGATGACAATATTATAATTTGTATTTGTATGAAAACGAATAGAAGTAACGTTAGTTAATAACAAGTGACGCGGCGAAAAGTTTGATGAAAGTGTTCGCGAAGATGGTTTGGAACGTGTCCCGATATATTAATCGAAATCGAGGAATGCCTGTTATTCGTGACAAATTTACGTGGGGAATTTCGAATTCTGGTATACTGCACCAGTGTCTTCGATAAATCATCTGCTTGGTACGCGTGTGGAATTTTGCTAGTCTAAAATGGGAAGAGAAAAAGAGAGGATGGAAGAGAATGCGTGAGAGAAATAGAGAAAAGACTTCTAAACGTGTATCGATGATCGATCTTACGTGTGTGTAAATGAGATATATTTGGAAAGAGTATACGAGGATAGGTAATTAAGGATCCATTAAACGATTCCAATCGATCAATGTAAAATATTATTTGTTTATATTTCTAATAAAACACCGAACATGCTGTACGACGATGATTCGTATATATATATTTTTACCTTTGACTGTTTTATCGTCATTATATCTATTTTTATATCGGTATTTCTAATGGAACCGGTGTTTCTTAATTTATATTTTATACATTCTTGGCTAAAAGTCTAGGGCAGTGATTTTTAAATCCAGATTTCTACATTTAAACAATTTAAAGAAAGTAATGGATAATTATTGTTCTAAATATTAATTAAATATTATTCTTTTTATTATATATATATATAGGGAGATATATAGATAAGATTTTAAAAATTTTTCAAAAAGAAAGTGGAATAAAGTTCTTTTCACTCCTATCATTAAGTGTTATTTAATGCATTTTATATTACCATATTACAACATTTGGAACAAGAATGAAAAATTTTACTAACTAACTCTTATGCGTCATAAAGAATGAAAAAGATTGAAAATCACTGGGCTAGAAACATTCTAAGCTTTGATATTTCATCATATATCAAATCATCGCATGAATTTTTTTAATGAAATTATAATAACGAATTAAAATACCCTCATTACGATTTAATTTCTAATTTTAGAAAAAATTGCTAAAATTTCAATCGTCCATTTATGCATACGTGTAATTTTTTAAACAAGACTGGACACCGTTCTTATCGTTATTTAATCCGCTATCGATCGATTTCGATTGGCTCGCAGTAAAATTGAAGTGTACCAAAGCCAATTTACGCGGCGTTACGTTCAACGTTGAGATTTTCTTTTCGAGTGAAATAACCTCGAATAATGATTTTAAAACGTTTCTGGTGATAACAAACGCGTTATCAAGGTAAACGAACTTCGTTTGTCGGATCGGGAACGAGAGGTCATTGTTTTTTGATATCTCCTATGTATTTGCCTCCTCCTCCTTTTTTTTTTTTCACGTTCGATATCTCCACGAATCTAACGAATGAAGCCTCTCGAAAAATGGAAAGGGAACAGGAGTTACTGTAAATTTGGTAAAATTTAATTTGCAAATATATTTGGCTTTGTAACAGTTAAATTTTAATCCAGAAATTGGCGGATAATTTGATCGATCTGATAGCAAATTTTTAGTTGACAAAGTGTGTTGATGATTTTTAATTAGATTCTCGAGAGGAAATTGAATTTCTATCGCGAAAAATATGAATAATTCGATATATATGTATATATATATATATATATATATATATATTATTTTAATATTGTTATAATAAAATAAACGAACGAACGAATAA